CGGTAAAGTGACAAAGACAGAAATATCGTTGCGTACAGCGTTGCCACTAGTTGTAATAAATATCTAACACTATACAGAAAATAATGAATTTTAACTGATCAGTAATCAGGAAATGTATAAGTATTACTCATTACAAGCTCATTACTGATTTTTGTCATAAATAATACCTTTTAATCGTACTAGTAATGTGAATTATTTATAATTTGCCACAACCTACAACTCTACTGCTTACTATATTTTGATTCTGCTATAAACTGATAACGTAAAATTTGGATATGACAACGCGCTTTACTCTCAATCATTATTGGTTTTACTTTAGTTTGTGTACCGTTCAAAAACTGAACTGTAACTAATGTTAGGATCAGGATAATGCTAATTTCCAACTGCGCAACTCAGTAAATGATACGTAATTTTCTAAATTTACAGCAGTCAATTTTTGAAAGCTGTTGTCTCGACCAAGTATTTCTTAGCTTGAAATAATGATTTCGAAAAGTAAAAATGAATATAAAATTACTCCAAGTTTCCGGCATTTCCTATAAATAAGTTGCATATACCTTCAGCCGTACGTGCACACACAAAAGAACTTTTGGCAAATTATTAAATATTTATTTTTGAAAGTATCATGACTTACAAAAAATTTTGTAGGGGCTTGCGGTCAAACAAGATTGAAATTTCATCCAAAAGATCTAGTCCAAGTTATAAAATGGTTTTGCAAGTTTAAGAAAATATACTGCTATGTAAATTTTTCTGAAATGCAATTTTATATGACCATCACAGATATTGTGAAATGAAGTCAGTGTGTGTTGTGGAATGAAGTGCTCAAATATTTCTGAAGAGTTATTCAGAAGTTATTTAAAGAACTAAGAACACAAACTATATTCAGTATCATGAGAGTAGCAATCAATTTTGTTGGGAATATAGGAATATCATGGAGAATCAACTCCCTACAGCATTCTCTGTAAAAACAAGCGTCATGAAACTATTCTAACCAAACGCATTATAATTAGCAAATAATTTTCTATAATAATTACTCATGCAAAGTAGCTTTCAAAAAAATCTACTTTCGAATCATCTAAATGCATTGTCACTGTCTACTTCCTGAACTTACACGTATCACAAATAGTCTATTTTCTAAAACGATGGATTCCAAATGTGCGGTTTTCTTGGAGGTGGCGTTGGTTTCAGAGGCTATCAATTAAAAAAGTAATCATCATTTAGGGTTCACTTCATACTTACAATATATGAAATTAAGTACCCTACACGTGTTTTGTTGTTAATTGAGACACATACGTTTTTAGGATAAACATTCAAAACGCAACATCCATCATCTCACCAGATGGCTACTACAACTTAAGTTAACCCCTGAATTTCAAAAAAATCATATGAATATTTCTAAAAGATTATTAAACAGTTGTACCAATTGATGGTGATTCAGTAAGTTACACCAATTAAATTGAATTTCTAGGAGAGAACATCTTGAAATTATTTGAAAAAGTATCGCCCCTTATTGATATTTTACTTAAGATCAGGAACTACGAGGATTGTTAAAAAAATAAGGTCAATGTGCAAATTTCGCGGGCTCTACACATTCGATTAGGGATTTTTTGTTAGTACACTCATCTCGAACATATGTTCATAGTTTCAGCTCTTTAGTTTGTTGTTGAGAGGTATAAAACTTCTAAGTTTTCTTCGATTACAGTGGCGTAGTGCACCAGGAGTTCTTGCTAGATGGTCTTACGGTCAATAATGAGTATTATCTTGAAGTTATGTCACAGTAGAATACAACCAGTAGGCTCTCTTACCACGTGATCCGCACAAGTTACCGGGGACCTTCAATCGCGTTCAGTGCTGTAGTATCGAAGGATTCGACGGTACCGAGGCATCGGATTAGTTATAATTAACGGTCGGAAATTGATATTGTGTTTAGTTTATTCGCTACTGTTATTATTGTTTATAGTATTTGTAGTTGGTTATTGTTGTTTGTTTTATTATTAAGTGATTAGAAAATGGGAGATGTAAACAAGATATTATTAAAGAAGTCAGAACTCACGATAAAATAATCGTGGGTCAAAACAGTAACACCTTTTTTATTGTTATTTCACATGAGTACTCATTTGCAACACATTATGTATCAAAACTATAAAAAAAAATTATTCAAGACAAGCGATAAAGAAAATGGAACAAAAAGAACCTAACCACTAATATTCGCTTGTAATTATTGCATAAAAAAATAAACTATGGACTGTTTGGTATGAGACCTTTATTACTGTTCATAGATCTCATCCCACAAACTTCAATTTCTAAACTTTTGAAGGCATCTAAAAACCATTTTTCACGTACCAATCTCAATAATTTTGAACACTCCTCACTCCTTCCATGGTCGTTCTCTAAGGCATGTTGAGCGACACTAGACGTCTCTGGTCTACGAAACCGAATATGTGAAACATGTTCTTTAAAGCGAGCTATTATAGTCCGTTTAGTTTGACCAACATCCTTTTTATCACAATTCTCACATCTTATATCACATTTTTTGTTATTCTTGTTGGCTCAAATATTGTTTATTGTATGCATATCATAGATTGTTGTGATATTCAAAAAAGTGTTTTTTATCAAATCGATATAATAAATAATAATAATAAATGGTCTTTATTTCACGTGGCGGAGTTTAGCAAACTGATATTCTTCCACTCAACCACGTTTGAAAAAAAAGAAACATTACAAAAAATAAATGGCAGTTTCAGTTTTGAGTTTACTTTTGAATAGCGATAGTGATGAATTTTTCAAAGATTCACTGAATGAATTACACATTGGTACAGCATGATACGTGAAGGGTCGTTCATAGATAGTGCTGTTATGATTCGGAATGTCAAAATTATTGGTAAATTTAAGGTTTCTTAAATGTATCTGATGTCTGAGAAGGAGTTTATTTACCAAATAAGTGAGTTGTTATTTTTTTATCAGTTTGTGAATGAAACAGGCAAAATGCAATTCTCTTCTGTTCAACATTTTTAACCAATTTAATTGACTGATTGAAGGTGTCACATGATCTCTGTAATTCAAGCTGAATATTAGTCTAATGCAGGCGTTCTGTACTTCTGAATTCTTGCAGAAGTTATGGAATCGATACAAGAGCCATAAACGACATCGCAATAATTAAACATAGATAGAATCAGTACGTCTGAAAGGGTAATTTTGAGAGACCTACTAAGATACTATCTGTTTGAATACAGATGTTTCAGAGTAACGTAAGACCTTTGATTGAAAGTATTGACTTGAACAAATCTGAGGTAGTACTCTATATGAAGTAAATTCGCCAGAATGTCCATCAAGATACAAATTGATATTATCTATGGTTTTCACGATCTTTGGCTTTTCCAAAAATTATTAAAGAAGATTTACTAGGATTAAGGTTGGTTTTGCATCTGACAACTTGGAGAGCCTTGTTTTTCTTTGATATTCGAGGATTGAGTTCTCGGCCGATCTCATAGATGGCGTCTTTACTTACTCAAATCGTTCGTTAGTAAATTAAATTAAGGAGATTATATCAATCATGTTTTCCAATGAAAAAACTTCCATTGTTAAAATGTACAAAATGTTGCACAACACTGGTTATTCCCTGTCACAGTTTCTCAGGATAACCTACCTGGCTGATGGAAATTCCCGAATCCGCAGAAAACATGGGTGTAGGCATGGGCACTGTAGTTTTCGATACTTTTATAGATGGCGGTAGCGAGATATCCATCTTCATCTGGGAAGCGATAGACGACGACAAACCCAGATCCGAAGTGTATTTGGAAGAACCGTTGGACATTGTTCTTGGCACAGCAGTCGAATCTAAGACGACTGGACTAGTTTTAGCAACCGACGTCGTGGGCACTGAAGACTGAGACAGACTCAGAGACGAAGGCAAACTGGGAATGTTGAAGTTTTTTATCGTAGCTTCGGAAGGGCGTTTTTCTTTTTCTACCGCGGACTTCATCTGCTTCAGCTGCTCCATTTTCTGGTCCAACTTTTCTTTGTTCAGCTGCTCCTTCTTTTTGTCCGCCAATTTTTCCTGGAGGGTTTTACCACCTGAAAATCAGCAAGTCAGGATGATTCCTTGTAGCTCGGTCAAATAGTGATTTCACTTCTTGAAAAATCTGAAGATTTTAAGGCATAAATCTCTTTGTTTTCACGATATAAACAAGCCCCTCTTATGAGAAGAACAACAAGAAAGTTAATGATATTGGAAAGTCTTGAAATGTTTGATCAAACATGAAATAAGAGGGAATCTGCACGTTCAAAATAGGAATATGCAGCCAATCTGCAATTTTCATTGAATTTTCAAAGAGGTAAGACTTTTCTTGTATTATTTAACCAAGCCATTAATCTGAACTTACCAGATGGGCTCGTAGTGGGAGAAGGTCTCATGAAAACGGGAGATATGCTCGGGGGAGGGTTCAAACCCACGGATACGGGAGTGATGGAAATACTAGGTCTATTTTTCATCAAATCCTTGGCAGCTTTTTCTTCAGCGGAATTCGAAGTCTTTGTAACAGTTGGCTCCTGCGAATAAAAAAAAACACAAAATCAAAACATTTCTATCACTCATCAGAGAAACCACACTGCGAACTTTTTGACAGAAGTCTAACTTATCTGGGACCAGTTATTGAAAATTCATTACCAGAAAATACACACATCAGAAAAGTCTAGGGATATTTTTATAACATACTAAATATCATAAAAATAAATGCATGAGGTCGTTCAATTTCGATTAAATTGGTACACTCGACCACCCTGTAGATTTCTATGGTTTGAACGAAGCCTGCAAAAACTGTAACTAATCTTTTATCAAGTTTTTTACAAACTGTAGGTTTTCGGCTAAAATGAATAATCTGAAAGTGTCGAGCCATACTTTGTACTGATTCCAATTTTTTTTGTATTATTATTTTTTTTCGGGGTGCCAAAGAAGAGCCATATTTTTTTTTAGTTTTGCTTATTATGCGCACTCAGTATTTTTGACCATTCAATAAATTTTGTTGTAAGTTACATTCGTTTAATAATCACCCGTCACTTTTTTTTTCCTGAAGCGATCTAAAAAAAATTATTGCCATTTTAAAAAATATCCCTAGACTTTTCCGATGTGTGTATTTCAACTCTGGAATCTTTGAAAAAGTTTAAACTATCGTTAAAAATGTATGTATTGGCAAACGGAACTACTGTTAAAAATGTAATTAATACCAAAAAATAATTGAGCAATGCACCTTGTAATATATATTTTAAATAGTGTAGTAATATAATAGCAGTTATTTTTTATACATTTGACTCATCTTTTATGATTTTAACTTACTACTATACTTTTTATTTCAACTTTTTTAAATAAACTGTGTTTCTATTTTAACAGGAATCTTATTATAACTGTATTAATTAATTAATGTATATATAATGTAAGTAAATATCTTTTCTTGTTGATACTTCCATTTGTTATTATCATTTTTATGTTATACTATAATATGCTTGTTTTTTGATATTTTTGTTACTATATTCTTTCCACCCTATATTCTTTCTAATCCCGAAATATAAAAGGCAACCCTCATATATGTATTTGATATGTTCTCTCACAAACAGTGCTTAGAAACTACTATGGAGTTTCTAGCACTCGTGAGTATATTTGTCAACGTTTGGCTGACCTGTTATTTGTCAAATAAACGTTATTAATGATATTATTATTATTTACCGAAGTATGCGCTGGTCAGGCCCTTTCCCCTGATACATTCGGGAGGGCGCGCCAGCATTATCAACCAACGACCACTCCCCACACCTTTGGGTAAGTGATGATTGGATCCGAGAATCATGTGCCCTGAGCAAGCGCAGTGAGCCAAGAATGACAGCCTTCTGCATCTGTCCGGCTAATATTTCAGCCTTAGTGCGGCAAGCCGGTATGATTTTAAGATTCGAGAGTAGAGAGGGCATCACTCCACCAAGGAATCCAATAATCAGAACAACCATCTTGACAGAGTGATCTGGATAGAGTCTGTGGAGTTCAAAGAGAAAATCTCGATATTTTATCCGTTTTTCCTCCTCTTTTCGGACGATATCCGTCTCGCCAGGAGCTGAAAAGTCCACGACAAATATTGTCTTGCTCTGGTGGTCGAGAAGGATTACATCAGGCTTATTAGCTTGTATGAGCCTGAGAGTGGGGAAGGAATAGTTCCAACACCGGTGTCTCGTCAATATCGTAATTGTGCCGTAGATGGTAATATAGCACTCTTAGGACCACGTTATGTCGATGGATATAGGCCGAGACCGCATATGCTGGACATGCTGATAGCAAGTGCATTAGAGTCTCGGACGCCTCGCGGCAGGCCCTGCACCTTATGTCAGGAACCTCTTTACCCATCACGCGACTGTGGTAGACTGAGGTGTTGAAGACAACATCCTGGCAAGCCATGACGAACCCCTCAGTTTCCAACTTCAGCCCTGAGGAAAGCGAAAGTCAGGCACTTTGATAAACCAAGGTCAAATAAACGTTATTATTATTTCAAAAAATTATACCTACCTTGAAGACCTGCATGCCAGGCACACTCTTTGCAGCAGTTGTAGCGATACTCTGTTTACCTTTTCCAGGATCCGTAACAACTGATTTAGTTAAGCTTGTTGAGCTCTGTTTCAGTTTCGATTTGCTTGAAATTATCCCAGAAGGTGAAGTCGTGGTATGCGGAGAAGTAATTTTATTGGACAATGCTGATTGCTTGGACGATGTTGGCATCAGACTGCTCAAGAGTTTGAGCTGATCTACAGGAACAAAAGAATAAAAATGATTCAAATATGAATACATGCTGTGAATATTTTAAAGGATGATATAATGAAACAGATAGCAAAAATTGTACATGACTCATTTGTGGGGGCTTGAAAGTATATTAGTAGGATGTTAATGTAGCTTTCGCACCACCAAATCAGGTGCAAGCTGAAAGGTTGAGTATATTCTCAATACGAATGAAAACTCTGGAAGTGTGTAGATTATCCAAAGCTATTCCTTCTATTTGTAAGATGACGTCTATTTGAAATAACTGTCTCACTAGTATCTAGTATTCTACTTTACAAAGAACGTAAACAAGAATTCTAAATGAGTAGAGTGATTAAGAGACTTCTGCGACCCCCCACCACAAAAAAAATTCACGCTAGCCTGTGCATTCATTCTACTCACCTGCCGTCAAACCGGCCAGACTTTGATCGATGCTCGTCTTCTTCTTAGCGCTCGGGTTCAGTTGACTCGGACTGTCCATGAGCTGTGTCGCTTGAGTTTGACCGACCGTCCTGACCGAATTCATCTGCTTCACCAAATTGCTAGGGTTCAGCAGTCCCGATTGGGCGAGAAACTGGCTGGTAATCGCCTGCGCCGTAACGGGATTGGTCAGCTGACCTTGCGTCAATATCTGGCTGAGCTGCGTCAGCTGAGGAACGCTGAGATTCTGGCTATACTGCTTGATGAGCTCTTCCTGGTAATGCTTGAGGTATTCGTAGGTATAGCTTTGATCGAAGAGGGACTTTTGCCAGGAGTACATTTTCGGCATCGTAGAAGAGAGATTCTTACCTCTGGGCTGGCGAGGCTGCCCGGGCGTCTTGGGAAGGGGAGGGCGACCGCGAGGCCTGCTCGCTCCGGGTCTCTTAAGCGGTAGGGCGGGAGGAGTCGTGATGTTCGATGGTGATGGTAGAGTTGGGGACTAGATGAAAAATTGTGTTATTAGATGGCTAATTAGGAACATTGTCACTTAACTGAGCTATGTATAATACATATCTATAATAATAATAATAATGATAATAGACAACGTTTACACGGGAATATCATACTCGTTGTTATGACAATCGAGGTTCTAACATGTAGTCTCTGGAAAGTATTTACAAGTATCAAGTACCAATGCTGCCAATACATTTGACTCTTTCCTGGGAAATGGATTTTTTTTAATTCCTTTTGTGGTGGCAAGAATAATTTCTCACAGGAACCATATTATTTTGACATTTGTATTAGTGGCACCCTATAGTCGCTTAAAAAATGGACAGTTACCCCAGTTATTCTTATTTTTCTTTTGGACATGAAGCGTGTGGAAGAGAAGGTCGTTCTTAAATTGCTGAATTTTGACCATAAAAACCGTCGCATGAGCATCGCTCAGGAATTGTTGAATGAGGTTAACGGCGATCCAGACTTGCTTAAGAGGGTCATAACTGGTAACGAATCATGGGTATGTGGGTATGACATGAACCAAAGTCCAATCGGCCCAGGAGAACCAAACATCATTGTTTTGCTCACTTTTTTCTTCGATTACCGTGGCATATTGCACCAGGAGTTTTTGCTACATAGACGTATGTGCTCGTCGTACCTTTGGATAAGTTTTTTCTTGGTTTGGCCTATATAAAATTTGTTGGAGTCCGAGCATAGTAAGCTGTTCACTCCGTTTAAGTTTTTGTCTTCTTCTTTTTCATAGCACAGAAAATGAACAGCAAATTTAAACAGACATTCAGATGAAAGGAGAGGACAAATACCTGCACTAAGGCGTTCTAATCATATAAAAGAACAAAAAAGAAGATAAAACGTTCAGTTTGAGTAATGCCATGAAGATAATAGCACAGTCTGCTATCGAAAGCGCTATCGAAGCTTCGAATTGTTTTATATGGGATGCCTAAAATTGTTTTTCAAGTGTCTGAGAGTACAAAACTTACCACGAATTTTCTTATATTAAATGCTTCGAGCACTTCTTGATTACTTTGCTAGTTGTATGTTTAAATTCTTCCTGAATATTGTTGTACATCTTGGAAGTTGTTAGATAGAGAAAAACACTCCATGTTTTGTCATGAATGAAACAGTAAAGTGTCTGACATTCGTGTGAAAGGAGTTTGTAAGATTGTTTTATGCACGTGATAAATATATTCTCTCAGGTTGTGGACTTTTTTTTCGAATAGTAAGTGACCTAGTTCTGTACCCTGAGGTACTCCATAACCAATTAGTTTCTCACCACTTATCATATCAACACTAAATGTTCGACATTGCTTTTACAAGTGAAATTTTAAGTAAATACCATTTACACCGATGTTTTCTAGTGACTAAACTGATATCATAGTTTTTGGTGTTGAAAACTTTTGATAAGTCAACAAATATACACAAATATTGACTGTTCTCATTTGAGGAATTCTCAACTTTAGTTGTTAATGCTAATATTGCTTCCTGGTTCAACATATTTCCCACAAATGAATGGGATATTGTACATTTTGACAAAGAACTTTGATACATAACTTTTGGCATACAGGTGAAAATTGGTTTACCTGGTGTTGATACAACATTATCGAAAAACAACTAGAATTCAATACGTTGATACAAATGGAACCTCACGTAAAGGGAGAGTGTTTGAAAGTGGAATGCCGCAAGGTTCTGTGTTATTCCCGCTTCAAGGTATTCTACAATTTTACAGGATCAGGTTTGACATTCTAAGTCATATTTAATCCTTGCTTTTTCCTGTATTTCCTTTGATTTCCCAAATGTAAAGCATTTGCGAAAACCTTTTAAGGAATTGTTACTTACATTCGTCATTCCAGATCCTCTTGGCATTAGAAGAGCTCCCTTTTGAGTCGGTTGAAGTTTCTGTTTCTCAGCCTGCCGATTTTGAAGGCAAAACTTTGTAGCCAAGTCTAACACGTTAACATTATCAGGAATCTGGAGAAAAAAAATACAAAAAATATTTCAAAGAGAATCATCTACGTTACGTACCTTTTCCTTGATGAATTTCTTATAAACCTCGACAATCATGCTGGCAAACTGACTCTCTTTGACAGGTATATGTTTCTGCAGCCTTTGGTATACCCGGAAAATTTCTTGAAGGATTTTGGCTATTTGCGGATTCGTCATCGTGCCGATGTTTTTCATTTGGCTTCTCAAACTTTGAGAACACATCATGATGGCTTGCTCTGAAAATGCCATTCGTTCCGAATCTTTGATGTAAATTCTGAAATGAAGATCAGATAATATCCTCTATTTGAATTATATAGCTTGATAACTAATCACAACCCCGTGGGTTGGGCTACCTATCAGGCGCGTCCCCAGGTGGCAGATAGGGGAACGGCCAGGGGACTGGAGGCCCTATCCGGGAAGCCAATGTGGCCTTACGGACGGGGTCGCCTGACTCCTGGCCAGTGGCAGAAATAAGTAGGGTGAAGGGAGCTAAAACTCCCCAAAAGCCTACCAGCCTACCTAAGCTGAGGTGTAAGGAATCGAGCCGAAAGCTTAATGGCCGCAGGGTGATATGCGTTTACGAACGATCCTCTTGGGGAACTGGGCAAAACCTCATTGTAATCAGCCTACCTCTGGTAATGCGGGGCTTTGCCAGAGGTGACCAACTCTTCCCTTGCTACTTGTGGGAACACACATGAATGAAACAAACAGAAAAACAACAAAAACAAAAACCAATCCCGAGGCTGGACAGAAGTGATCACCTCAATCAGGGGCGGTGGCTGGGGATGAACAGAAATGTCCGCACCAATCTACCGCTTGGAATGAGGCTGGACATAGCAGATCACCTCGTGATGTAATACAAAGGCCAAGGCGCTGAGGCCAAAAGGAGAAAGAGAACGAAAGAGGCAGGAGTGGCAGCAACTATAAGTGAACCCTCCTCCTCCCCCACTCCATCTCCAACAGCAAGGGCACTTTCTGCGGTGGGCGCCAAGAGCTTCGCCTTGAATGAAGGCAAGGAACCGGCTGCCCCTACAGGAAAGCTCCCTCACTTGTGCACCTCCACGGAGGGAACACCAAGAAGGTTGAAGAAGTCGAGCAACGACACTTATGTCGCTGCACTTTCTAAAACCTTCACGGAGGCCACCGTGAGACACCTCAAGGTTGCCAAAAAGAGTGTGTTCGGCAAGTTTTGGCCTACACCTGCCAATATAAAGGAGATGTCTCCTAGTAACCTGTCCACCTTCCTGGAAAGAACAGGATGGACGATGACCTAGGAGGACAACTCCTCGGGAGGATATACAATGGGTCACATGTGGCCTAAGTGTTGTGGGTTTACACTCACCCTCCCTACTCTACAGAACTCATCACAACTGGTAATACAAGTTTTTTTTCAATAATAACGATTTATTTTTTTCCATTATTTTATAATAATAATGACCCGGGAGGTTCATTTCAGACTTTGCCTGCAGGAGGTCTGAATCAACTGCAGATAGAGCTTATGACTAGTTGGAAATAACTCAGTTTGTTCGGGATATTCAGACAATTCTCTCCGTCTGAAATGACCCTCCTGGTACTAACAAGGGGCAAGTACTCCGAAACCAGTTTATCGGTAATCGTCCCGATCGAATAAAATCAATTTCAGATTCTCATATACAGGAAGTTACTTGCGATGAATCTTCTAAATGGAATACGTTGCACAGGTTTTACTTTAGCTTTCTGAGCGGCATTAGCGGGTTAGTTGTTTTCCGTCGGGTATCTGCCACACATATCTACAAAATCGTAGGTTCACATGAGAGGTAAGGGTGAGGTGTGTTCACCTGTACTTGAGCATATCATATGCATCTCTCTGTAATATGTTCATCATTCTGACTCCCACCCCGTAGTATGTATTTGTGGAGTTGCTTCCGGACTTTGTCTACAGACGGCGCAGCGGTACATCCTACTGAATCAACTGTAGATAGACCTAATGATTAGTTGTAAATAATTTTGTATGTTCGGGATATTCTTAACGATTCACTCCGTCTGAAATGACCCTTCCGATACTGACGAGGAGCTAGTACTCCGAAACCTGTCTATCGGTTTTTGGATTCTTTTGGTTCCTACAAGTTGATTGTAAGCTACTTGTGGTTTAGCTTGAATATGCATATTATAATTTTGTTTCAAAGTTTTTAATTTTGTTTTAATAAGGAATTTATTGCTCCCCATACTGATAATATATTGAATTTTGGAATATACTAATGAAAAATAAATCAATTTAAGGTATTTTAATAGTACAAAATCTCTTATTTTGAATGAAACTCCAATTATGGGAGCTTTTTTCTTCTTATTGTTTAAATATGTGGTCTCCATGATGAAATCTAGAATGAGACTAAGAAATTTAGCACTAAGAGAGTATTTATTATTTTCATTATGGAATGTAATTGGATCTTTTGAATCAATTGACATAGATCTTTTTGATGTGAACATATACGAAGATTTCTGAAAATTCAGTGACAAGGTCTTTCGAAATATTAATTTTAATTTCTTGTGCTATTTCCACTGTAAATTGAAGTGATGTCATCAGCAAACATTTGTAATGTAGAAAAATAAATTTCCCGTATCCGAAGAACTGAAATATATAAGAAACAAAACAGGTCCAAGTATTGATCCTTACGGTACCCCACATATTTTTTGTAACTAATCATGTACCCCTTAATTTACGTTTCCTGACCAACTTATCTACTATATTAGTTAGCATTACTACTTTACTTACTTATCCGGTTCAGGAGTTTTCCTGAGTTGTATACTCAAATCTATCAACGTCTTATTGTCGGTGGTGGTTCTAAGGATCTGCATGAGCAGAGATATACATCGACTCATGTGAGCTGACAAGGAACCTGGTCTGTCGATTTCGGTAGACGGGATCCTCAGAATACCCTAAGGTTAGAGATAAAAGCATGAAGGAAACAAACTTTGCACATGATCTGACTGATGAGACTCACATTGAAAAAGTTGGTGGGTTTTCTATCGCTGAACAGCCCAGCCACGATCGTACCGTCCTTACATTTGTACTCTCCAAGTAATAGCTGCCTGCACTTGATCATGTCTTTTTTGGATTTGTAATTGAAATAGAGGTGTGCCAATCTGTAGAGGGCTTTGTAATTTTGGGATAACCTGCTTACACATATTTCCAAACCTACAATTTTTATGACAATAAATATAAAGACCATAAACCATATTAGTTGCGTCAAGTGTTTATCACGATGGGACTATGTTATTCAAAAATTTTATTAGAAGGAGAATGTGAGAATAGACTCACAAAAAATAAATTCACACTTAATGAGTGATATTTCTTTTTTGTTGTGAGTTAATCAGGTGATGTATTGTACAATTCTTAGGTTATGTGCAAGGACCGTTATATAACATAGGATAGCCAGATCACTATACCAGCAACGTTGTCGTGCGTGAACCGAGTCCCCACTACTTTATGACATCACCGCGGACCCGTAGCCGTTGGAATATCGCGGTATGTGACTGTGAACGCGATGAGACACGTTGTTAAGTGACGGTTTTTGTGTTTATACTTCTTCGTGCATCTAGTAAATGAAAGAATTTTTTTACAATAAACATGCCAGGACGTCGTTGCGCTATTTTGGTTGTAACAACTGCCGTGTGTCCACAAAACTTACCGGAAAAGACATTGTTTACCACAACTTTCCTAAAGCAAATGATTTCGTATCGGGTACTGTACGAAAAGAATGGATAAGACGCTGCAAAAGAGCGGATAAATGGAATCCTGATACCAGTCAAATTTGTTCCGTTCATTTTACTAGCAATGATTACGAAAGAGACCTGAGAAACGAAAAAAGTAAACGACAAAACGTAAGACTAGCAGCCGAATTATTGTCCCGCAATACAGCACAGGCTCTGTTACGATACAAACCTGGCCCCGACAAAAAACTTGCTGAAGACCTTGGCATGTTTATAAACGATGTTAATTCTTGGTTTGATATTTTCAACAGTCATGTAAAAACACCACCTGATCCCAATCGTTTGAAAGCTCCTTATGGAATTTATTTAAATGAACAAGAACACCATTTAGATAAAGTTAAAACTATGCTACTTGACATGAGAGCCGAAGGAAAACAATGTTTACAAACATTTCTGAAAGGGATGATAATGTCCATTGAATCTTTAAAGTTACTGTACCGGGAGATCACAGCCGAATGTAAAGATGTACATTACATCTGTACTCACAAACTCAATCAGGATTGCCTTGAAAATTTTTTTTCCCAACTACGGTGCCGAGGCCCCAATGAACACCCGTCACCATTAGAAGCCATGAAAAGAATAAGGATGATTATCTTAGGAAAAAATCCTGGTATTTTAGAGGCTCGGGTAATAAAAAACATTTTATTTTTTATTGCTTCAATATGCATGTTAACTTTTGTACGGTTCCTGAGGAGTATATGGTCGCTAGAGTTTTGGAACAAGCTAAGGTTTTTGTCGAGTTACCTCAAGAAGACGCATGTAATAACACCTCTAATGGCACAGTAACTCAAAGTAGTAACAGTGGAAGTTCGTTTGCAACATCTGATATTTCAGGAACTTCCGATACAAAATCACCAGAAACTACAGATGATGCTTTTGAGTATATTGCTGGTTTTACAGCAAAGAAATTTAAAACGACTCATCCACAACTAGGTGATTTTACTTATAAGATTAAATCTGATTTTTCTCCCAATATACCATCATGGGTACAGCAGCTTTCATTTGGGGGTCTTATTAAACCCTCAAGTGAATTTTTAAATAAAATTAAACAGTGGAACAAGCACTTTGAAATTTACCATGGCGACAACAAACTAAGGAGAGAGCCAATGGTTGTCAAAAAATTATCTTTAAAAATTAAAAAAAGAGAAAGTTTACCTTTTGATATAATCAAACTCTTCTGTAAACTGAGGACTGTTATTCGTATAAATTATTTAAACACAAAACAGTTTTTAGACAGTCAGTTAAAAAGGGCAGGTAAACGCAAGATTTGCAATACCCCAAATTCTGACGTGAAACGGAAATTAGCTAAAAAAATGAAAAAAAATAAGTGATCACAGAATTCTTGAAACCTTTAAAGTCAATGTTTGTCAAATATTGTAATATATATAATGTGTACAGGGTGTCTCAAAATGCATCATTGAAAAACATGACAGTGATTCTCCAATGTGTACAGGGTGTCTCAGATGAGTCTTTTGAGAAAACGTGAGTTTAACTATCGTTTTAACGCGCTTTTCTCCAATGTGTACGGGGTTTCTCAAAATACGTCTTTTAATGAAAAACGTTGTCTGGCTCAAACCGCATGCTTTTTCTCATGGTGCTCAAGTTTTGTCATTTTCAGACCTCGTAGCGGATACTTGTGGAATACCCAACTCGAGGTAGATGTGACGTGTGTAAGAGTTATACGATGCAATATACAGGGCTATTCAAATTCGTTTCTATACATGAGGATCTCATAAACGATAAGAGATAGAGTTTCGGTTAAATTGTGGCAAAGTTGCGTATTTTAGAGACCTATTCAATGATGTGAAAAAATCGAATATAGCTCTTTTGGTTCTGTAGATATATACAGGAAAAACCAAAAAAATCCCACATTTTGTTTGCCTATATCTTCTCTATTCACAGGCATATGGAAAATCTGTCCACATTTTGCTATTGGCACTTGATGTGGGCTATCAGAATATGTCCATGAATATTTTATATAGAGTGTCATTTGACTTGGGCCACCCCCATCTTTGAATTTTTAAATGCATGTTTTGTTGTAGTTTTTGGATCATAGACGTTCACACTATACTGAGAAATTAAATTTTATTTTATATTTCAGGATTTTTCGGTAATATTCGATTATAATTGGGAGAATTATTTCCTTTTAAATTACGGCCCTGGAAATTGGTTGACTGAGTTAAATAAAAACACAATAGCAACTTTCACGTCTCCCTATGTACTGCACAGTTTGTAGAGAGTTTTTTTTT